TCCATTATTTTAATGCTTTAATGCTTTTAGTGCATAGCATATAATGTGCATCTATTTAGAGTTTAGTTATGTAGTGAGTTCATTTCATTAGCAAGTGTGTGGAAGAAACAAAGATGCATAAAAACTTTTTATTATATAACATGTAGAGTAATATATGCCTTCCATATATGAATAATGTTGTCTATCATGTATTATTATAAATATGCCCCATATCTGAAAATTTCAACTTCAAATAAGTTGGCATATATGTCCATATGTGACAAAAATAAGCTGGCAGTGTTGGGCAGAATAGTTTGAAAATGTAGTGATGACTGAACACACTGTCCTAAATGTATTCAATAATGTATTCTACTACGATATATAAATAATGACATATTCAGAATACATCTAGAATACATATTGATAAGGCAGATGAGGAAAACTCTGCTGTTGTAATTTTATTTAACTTGCATTGTTTTTCACTGTTACTGCTGACAGTTTTCTTTTGTGTAATTCTTCTGTTAATATGGCTCATAAAAAATCACTTATTTAAATGAAGTTACAAAATTCTCAACATTATTTTAGCTGTCATTGCCTGCTTCAGTCCACTGGTGCTCCTATAATCCCACTACTGTCTGATGAACCAGCAAACCCACATCCTAATAACAAAGCCTTGCAAACTTGACTATAAAGTGGGTAGCTGTGTGATTTTCAGTTAATGATATGTAGGTAACTTACGTCACAAAACACATGCACGAATCCAGTACAACACCGATGCTGAGCTTCTTACTCATGAAGTTCTGTCATGTTTTAAAAACGTTTAGTAATGCTGAGATTAATAACTGATCATCACATTGGTTTATCAGTCTACTCAGGCTTTAGCTGAAGCTTCACACACTGCGCTGATTGTAAAGTAGTTAATAAACAAGCATTAATGGTGTTTCTTTTAAAGATGGTATATATTTTTTCAATATAGTTTGTAGGTAATCTAAACGTATTCTTAAAATGTAAAAAGTAACTGTATTCTAATTACTGCCTTTATAAAATGTAACCTGGACAGAATACGGATACTTTGTTTCTGTATTCTGATATGTACTCCCAATATTTGTATTATGATAAATCCCAACCCTGTAAGACCTTGTAAGTCCATATATGCTAAAATATGTCATATATTTAAAACCCATGTATTGCCATATTTCAGATTTCTGTATAGAGTATCTTAACTTTCTTTAACATATCTGAAAAAAGGGAACTTACTTTAGGTCTGAAAATGCAGAGTTAGTGCCAGAGATGTTTGGGTGGTGGGGAGGCAGGGTAGGGGTGTTGCTTGGCTACAGGTTGAGGGGGGATAGCCAGGACACATTATGTCCTAGAGACATCACTATAGTAAGGGTTGACTACCAACTGGCCTCCCACATTGCAGCTACCATAACCTGACACAAAACACTGAAATTTTAAAGCTAAAAATGTAAACAAACAAACAAAAACATTTAAAACACTATAACTGTGCAAGTTTAAACCTGCACTAGAAACTAGCACAGCTCAGTCACACGAGGATGCGAGATACTCAGCACCTTTGGGTTCATGCTATTATAAGAGCGAGATTCTTTTTTTAACGTTTTCATTGGTGTCATTGGTGGACAATTATTTTTTCTTTAGTGGTCAGAAATCTAGGGGTTTCTAGTTCCATAGTGAGGTGGCCTAGGCATCCCCAGCCCCCCCACCCATAGCAACATCATTGGTTCTCAATCCTGTTCATGGAGGCCCTCTGCTCTGAACCTTTTAGGCACTGTCCTAAAAGGCACCCTAGGTCTTGCAGTTCGCCTCCACACTTTGGTGACATTAACAGCATATGAAATGTAGACGGCATGCATTTGGGACAGACTCATGCATGGCACACATTATACGTGTACTTTTCCCACTAAAGGTAAATCAGTCGTAATCGATATTTTTTTCAATAAACTCATCTGCTGATCTACATTCACTCAGTATAGATTACAAGCATAATGCAGCTCAAAGACAAGGTAAATTAATAAACAAATGCATTTTAACTCACCAGAGTATCTTCTTTTCCATCATGTTAGTCGGGCAGCTGTACAGAAACCCCTCCACTCTGACTGATGCTAGCTTTTATCTCAAAGGATTTTGAGTAGCATGCCACCACAGAGTTGCCGAAGGCCACACAAAGGGAGCATAGAGGGGGCTCGTGAGCCCCTTTGAACAGCAAAAGAAAGAGAAATGGAACACCCTATGGCCGATCCCAGTCCTGGCAACCCTGTGCTTTGCACCTTTTTGTGTTTTTCTTTCTCCACACACCTGACCCAACCCACGAGGAGCTGGTTTAGTTAATGAGTTGAATCAGGTAAGCTAGATGATATAAGGCACAAAAATGTGCATAGTGGGGGGGTTGCTACCCCAAGTGTGTCCAATCTTATCCAGAAAGGGCTGATGTGGCTGCAGGTCTTTATTCTAAAGAAGATGGAGCATTCTTGATTTTACTTGTTTAATCAGTCGCTCTCAGTTTTCAAATAACATCATGTGAGCTTGTGAGGTCCTGTTTTGTTGGAATGAAAATCTGCAGCCACAGTGGCCCTTTGTGGATAAAACTGGACACCCCTGTCCTGCTCTGTGTCCTTGTGGGCATGCGCAAATGAGGACCACAGGCCTGCAAGTGCACCAGAGGGGGGTGTTAATGTTATCCCTCCTCTAACACACCTGATCCAACTTACGAGCTCATTAACAGCCTTCCTGAGTTGAAGTGAGTGTGTTAGAGCAGGAAAAACACTAAAATGTGGAGGACAGCGGTGGCTACCTTAGGGTCAGAGTATGAGCTCACACTGACAAAGATACAGTTATATGCAAAAGTTTGGTTGGCATTTTGTTTATTTTCTAAGTGAAAATAAGTTAACACATCCTCTACCCCCTTAAAATCCCAGGCTTATTACATATTAAGACTTATTATTCAGTAACTACAGGAACTTCAATGCAAACTGGCTGAGCTACTCTTAAGAAGTGTGTAATAAAACTTTGGGCCCATTGGTAAGCCATGGCCATTCAAGGGGTTAATGCACAATTACGGTTTATTTGCTGAATTTAACATATTTGGAGGAAAATAAGCATTGAATGTGGCCTGTGCAATTACACTCACACACACACATCATCTAAACCGCTTATCCTTCTGGGTCACGGTGGGGTGCTGGAGCCTATCCCAGCTGTCATCGGGCGGAAGGCAGGAGTGTGCAATTACAATATATTGTAATTGCTCAGACCTGTCCAGGGTGTATCATGCCTTCTGCCCAATGATAGCTGGGATAGGCTCCAGCACCCCACCGCGACCCAGAAGGATAAGCAGTTTAGTGTGTGTGTGTGTGTGTGTGTGTGTAATTGCTCAGATATGTTAAACCAAGCAGAAATTAGAAATTGTGCACTGAAATGATCAGAAAAACACCCCATTTATTTTGGTTCATTGTAGAGGATGTCTTAACTTTTCACTTAAAAATATAACAAAACATGCAGTTTGACCAGGGATGTTCAAACATTTGCATATGACTGTATAACAGTACTCCAGAGCCTGTCATTTTCAAGAGGGCTGAATCCTTTCATGCGTTCTGAATACATTATATAAACAGGCCTTCAGCTCTGAGTTATGAGTAGTGTTATCAGAAGTCTAGCTTATCATTGCCCTCTGTATTGTATACATTTATGCCTTGTTACTGCTTATTGGCTGAATCAGTGTGTCTGCATTCTCTATGATGGGTTATGATTATGAGAAAACTATTTTGAATGCTCCAAGCATATTCCATTGCAATCCATCTGTAACGGAATATGCTCACACTTTAAAAGTATATTTTTTTATATATATATATATAATTTATATTCCTGTGTGTTGGGTTATACTATTAATATACTATTAATTGCAAGTAGCACTTCTTTCCTTCCTCCAACCCAGGTGTTCAATTTTAAGTTATCTGATGAAGACATGAAGCAAATTGAGTCCTTTAACAGGAATGAGCGACTCATCATTCCAACTATAGAGGTGAGTTTTGTATCATTTTTAGTTAAATATGAATGCTAAAAAAGATTCTGGGCACCAAATGTAAACAGTGACACTGTTCTCTCTACAGAAGGATGGACAGAAGGTATGGAGAGATGCCAGCCATCCTCATTTTCCTTTTCATGATGTGTACTGATTAAAGCCAGACCTCTTGAAACATTACTGCGCAACAGCCCACACAATAACAGGATTTTCAGATCATGTCCATCATCTATTTTAGCCCTTCTCTCACTGAAAAGAACTGTTGATAAACTCCTGTGGACAGTGCACTATTCTAAGGCAAGAACACAAAGACATGTATATTATGATTCTGTCCATGGATGATCACCACGATGGATTACAGGGGGGAGATAACAAAATGAAACTTTGATTACAGACTGATTTACAAGGGAAGATGTGAGTTTAAAAGACTGTAGTAACTACTGTGATGGTTAAAATAAATGAATAAATAAATAAATAAATAAATAAATAAATAAAGCTGTTTAACAAAAACTACATTCTGTTCAAAGGTTATTAGAGCTACATCATTGGTTTGACTGACCAGGGCCAACTGTGCATCTTATTAACAAATAAAAGTGAGACTTTTCACACTACAATACTTAATGACCATTTTTTTCCTGAGGTTTGATAAGCTAGAAGCATCAAAATGCATCAAAAAGCTAATCAACAACTACGAGTACAATGATTTTAATTGTTTCATGTACTGTGCTACAGTAAAACCTACTCATACACATCTAATTATGCTTTTTTTTAAATGAAAACATGCAGTTGGTCGCTGTTTAAAGTACTGACGATATTCACGATATCCTCAAAAGAGCATATCGTAACGTAATTTATCATAATTACGATAACACATCACCGCATTGCCCACTCTTTCTTTAGATAACACATTTTGAAATCTGTTACAACCCACCCAACCAATAGCTTAACAAGGCTAGAACATAAACTAGAGATCTGACAGACACAGTTAAAGTTGGGCCCATTTTGTGAACTTTATTTTAACATTTTTCAAACTTGTAATACATTATATGCTACATTCATAAAAAATGAAGTCATTAGCATTTTTTTTCCTTTTTTTTTTTATTCTTTCAACAGGCTAGCATTAAATCCCGCCACTAAAGCTGCTTGTAGAGGTTGTGAAAAGTTAAGAATGAAGCCACTCTACCGTGTATTTATTCACTTAAACGCACCCCCACCCACATTACGTTAAGATCAAGGTTCTGCAGTAATCACAAACCAGAGCAAAATACAAGCAGCTACATGCTTTTCTCCAACAATGGGGGGGAAGAGAGGAGGAAAAGAGGATAATAATAATAATAATAAAAAAACGGAAAAAGAAAGAAAAAAAAAGAAAAAAAAACCATCAAAGAAGCACAGAGTCCTAAAAATGTGGAATTTTCATCGGTTGGTTTTCTGTTTTGTACATGGTGGCCTGTATTTGGGTAGATCAGCCATGTGGTCACATTTAACCATAGAGGTCATCATCGTTGTCCTCATTGAAGATGGTCCCTCCACTGCCGCCAGCAGAGCCCTGGCTTGGTCCACTTCCTCCCTGGTTACTGGAGGGGAATCTAGAACAGGAGATTTCATAATTAATAAGCAACCAAAGAAAATGCCTTATAGTCACAATTTAGCAACAGCAGTTGCTGTGCCATATTACTTAAATTCCAGAGTCCTTAAAAAGTATCAATAAGATGTTTAAACAAACAAACAAACAACTTTTCTTAGTCTTTACCTGAAGCTGCCAAAGCCTCTGCTTTGCTGCAGGGTCTGTGCGAACATCTCGTATTTGCGGATGTCGTTATCGCTGACGGAGCGGCGGGCGAAGCGCATAGCTTCTTCAAAGTGGTCCTTCCTGATCTCAGGAACGGGGTCATCCTCCTCCACCTCCTGAATATAAAGAAGAAAACTGAAGGATCAGCCATTGATATCTGCTGGATCGAACAAGTCCTCTACAATTACTATTTACGATAAGAGTTCTGAAAACAAACAAACAAACAAACCATTGCTGAGGGGTTGGTCTGTCTCTCACGTTCCCTCCTGATCTCATTCTCAATGGACTCACGGATGGCCAGCTTACAGGCTCTCTGGCAAATCTCTGTCAAATCAGCACCGGAGAACCCATTGGTCATCTTGGCCAGGAAGTCCAGGTCCACGTCCTTGAGTGACAGAAAGCAAAGTTACTAACGCACACTTCTTCCAGTACACATGCAAAATGTCAATATTGCTTCCCAAACAACCCCAATGGCCCAACAAAAACAGAGCCAAATTCTTTGCGTCTGAATTTCTACAATGCTTTAAATGACAGCCCCCCCCCCTAATTTTTCATCCCATCTTAAATGGAACAACAGTTACATTCTGTACCTGTACAGCAGCCTGAATGTAGCTGCTTCCCATTTCCAGTGGAATGGGACATGCAAATAAGCCAACTTCAGCTTGTCAAATTTCTCAAGTCATTTGTCTAATGTATGTCAGACACACTCGTCCTCTGATCATCAGACACTGCTGATATTTTGAAAATATTACAGGTCACCCATGCTATTAGTAACAGCTAGACCAGTGTCTGTTGCGCAGACAAAGCCCTAACACTAAGACTGCAGAGTCATCTGATGTAGCTGACCAAGTAAGCTGCTGCCACTAAGCTAATCCCAAAAGACTGGCCATTCCTTGCGTCTCCTGCTTTGAAAACAAAGTGAACTACTTCATATACAATGGACCAGACAGTGGGAAATGCTCAAGGGCAAACATCCATGACTCAGCCACTCAGCTAAACAGGCTAGCTGTAGTGTTTTTTTACTGTTTGTATATCATGTTATTAATACTTATTTGTAGCATACAGGTATAACGGTTATGACAAAACTCAAATATCCGAGGAAGGATACAAACCGGTGTACCACCCACTACTAACTTCTAGTCAAATTTACCTTGGCAATGGGGGACTTCCTGAGGTTAGCCTTAAGAATGGCCATGCGAGACTTCTCATCGGGCAGTGGGATGTAGATGAGCTGGTCCAAACGACCGGGCCTGAGGATGGCAGGGTCAATAATGTCTGGTCTGTTGGTGGCTCCGATGATGAAGACGTTCTTCTTGCTGGACATGCCATCCATTTCGGTCAGGATCTGGTTAATGACACGGTCAGCGGCTCCACCACCATCACCCACACTTCCACCACGGGCCTTTGCAATGGAGTCCAACTCATCAAAGAAGAGCACACAGGGGGCAGCTTGACGGGCCTGCAGAATAAAGAATCAGCCATGTTCATCATACAGTATAAATTCTATTTTCACCTTCAAATAATCGAAACTTCTTAAAAGGAAATTACACGGTTTTTAACTTCTGCATTATTTAAATGTTGAGGTGTTAAATCATTCAAAGTGACTAAACTTTATAACAGTAGTTATTATAGGAACCATGTGTTGTACCATCTACAATGCAAATATTGCCATTTTATTTATCATCCAAAACGACCAGAAAACCTACAGGTACAAGTTTTTAATGTGTCATGTTGACGACTATTGTAAAGCAATGTATTTTCTTTCTATTTTGTGTAATGTTCGGTGAGGTAGCTTTTAAAGACACTGAATGCTTCAGATGTCTGGTTTTCATCACCACCACATATACAATTGTGACTTAAGTGTCTCCAGAATGAAGCAGCTGACATCAAAACATTCAGCATAACTCAGTTTACATCTTATCAACTGAATTATGCAGAAAGTTTGCTATTCTCCTGGCATTCTCCTTCTGTGTATATTAAAAAGGTGAAGGAGGCTAAGGGGTGTTAAGGGATTAGATTTTGAAGTGTTTAGATTTTCAGGTCTCTCTTACCTTATCAAAGATCTCACGGACATTGGCCTCAGACTCCCCAAACCACATGGTGAGCAGTTCAGGTCCTTTGATAGAAATGAAGTTGGCCTGGCACTCATTGGCAATAGCTTTAGCCAGGAGAGTTTTACCACAACCAGGTGGTCCATAGAATAACACACCCTTGGATGGGGTCATACCAAACTTAAGGAATTTGTCTGGATGTTCCACTGGGTACTACAAGGAAGAGGAGAAAGAAAGTGCACATCAAGACAAACCAGAACATCAAAGATCCCAAGAATCTAAAAGGATAACAAGAGAAGAGGATAAGCTGGTTACCTGCACAAGCTCCTGAAGTTCTCTCTTGACATCATCAAGGCCTCCGATGTCCTCCCAGGTGATATTGGGCACCTCAACCACTGTCTCACGAAGAGCAGATGGGTTGCTCTGGCTCAGGGCCCACTGCGAAGCAGAACAAAAGAATTACTTACTGGCAACATGCATAACTACACTGAACCATAAGCTCCAACTTCCATCTAAGTTCTTGTTTTCTCTGAAAAGGGAACTTACAGTACATGACTTTCATTGTACTGAATTACACATTCAGAAGTTAAGCTAACATTCATACCCTGAAGTCATCCATGGTGACAGCCAGAGAGTTCATGACTTCTGCATCAATTGTCTCATCCTCCAAGTCGATGAGGTCCATCTTCTTGCGGATGGCCTGCAGTGCAGCCTCTGAGCACAGGGCAGCGAGATCAGCGCCCACATGGCCATGAGTCTCGTTGGCAACCTGAAATGTCAAACATCATTGATCAGCAAGGAGAGTTTAAACTATTCAAGCGTTGGTACTGTAACATATACAGCGCTAATGAACAAACGACTCAAGCTGGCAGTGAAGGACACGCTGCTCACAGAGAAGCGCTACTGACTCTCAAGGCCGGACACAAAGTCACTGGTCACTTTAAACATATGGCATAGCAGTGGCATATTCCCCACAAGGAATACATTGATTTTAAACACACACAATCACAACTGCTTCCCCAATACAGGGTGGAGAAATATAGGCTAACAAACAGGAGCACTGCTACCACAGTCCCTATATGCGGACTTGACTGTTTGACTGAGTAGAATTGCAAGGTGTAAACGTGTACATCACATGAACTACTGTGTACATCACCGCCTGCTTTCAGTTTCACAGCACAGTGTTAGCAGTGCTGCTCAGATTCTCTTTGCTCAGTAATCGGCACAAAAAAAAAAAAAAGTTATTTTGAATGAAACAGCTTTATTCGAAATTGGTCATGGACAGAGCTGTCTGTAGGAGCTGCATTTCATGAAGCATGGACCAAGTATTTTCGTACAGTGCGTGTACATAAATCATAGGCTTTGTCCACACTATTCAAACGTACAGCGCAAGTTAACAAAGAAAAGATTTCCAAAAATCACAGTGTATGTCTGGCCGTAGAGGACATTCAGCTACAGCTCAACCAGCCAAACAAAACAAAATACTTCAGACATAAAACTCTACAAGTGAGCTCCTCAGATGCATCAGCCTGTGATTCCTGCTGTCACTGTGCTACAGAGACTGTTGTTGAAAGAGACAGTAGCAAAACTATGAAACAGTTAACCTACAGCTGAACAGAAGTGCTTTTCTGACATGGAACAAAACTCACTCTTCTCAACTGCAGCACTACTCGTTCAAAGGTATCTAAAGTAGTCAGCATTGCTAGCTAATGCACATCATTTAAAAACAGCTAGATTTTAGTGCTTTGATGGTAATTCTTTATTGTATTGGCAAGTATTATTAAAAAAAAATAAAAAAGAAAAACTCCTTAAAAAAAGTTTTATAAATGTTTTATTCCATCTCCTTCAAAAACAAGCCTCATTCTAAAATGCCCTCCCCAACTTGGCCTTATGATTACCCTCTTGGGGGAATAACTGATGCCTTATTAAGGGCCAAGTGAAGTTAACCCTAGTGAGGCAAAGGGATTGAGCCAGCATGTGTGTTGACTTCAGAAACAAGTCACTTCAAACCAATGGAATTCCCCCCCTTACATTCACAATACTCAAAAAATGTTCTGCATTACAAAGGTTACATAACTACCTAATTAACTCACTGAGGCAAATTTAGCAAAGACGAAGTGAATCTGATTAGAAAATCCATTCCTCGCTGTCCCCTCCTCTATGTGCGCTCCGAGTGCCCACTTTTAAAACCCAGGTGCTACACAATTTTGAGTGAAAGCAAAGTTGGCAGGGGCATGGTTTTTTGAGGTATTGAAACTGGGCTTTACTAAAACCCACTCATCTTTTTTTTTCAAAATTAAAAGTGCATAAATGAAAATTATGCTTACAGCTGCCTATAACGGAACTGCAGAAATGACCAACACCAACAACACTTCTTACACAAAAGGGGGGCATTTCTTTAAACAGCTGGATTCACCAAAAATGTATCAAAGAAATATTCAAGTATTTATTTCAAAGGCTCAACAAAAACAAAGCAATGACATTTCAAGGGATGTGAAGAAATGCCATCCTCCTCCTCCATGCCAACCTCTTAACCTGTTTGACAACATAACTTGCCAGGCATGCAATAAACCTACCAATGAGTGTTTACCCTAGCAAACACAAAGACAAAGACAACAAACCTGCTCCAGGTCCACATCGTCAGCCAGCTTCATGTTCTTGGTGTGGATCTGCAGGATCTCCAGTCTTCCTGTCGCATCAGGAATGCCAATGTCCACCTCTCTATCAAAGCGTCCTGTAAGAAGAGTGAATAAGTAATTATTGTAATGTGACTGACCAGAGCACAAGAAAGTAAATTTCAAGACGGCATGAAATCCATGAGCCCAGTCTAGTTCAAAGCCTTTACAACACAGGGCAGGCTTGATACTCCAAGCTTACACTGTACTTGCCAGCATTGAAGAATGAACAGTTTGTTCATACTGAACTCCTTAGGACATTTCCTTCCACTTATAATGTTACAAGTCATTTCTCAAAAGAAATCGATGAACAAAGTACAATAATACAGTGCAAGAGAGAATTTCAGCATCTTTAGGTGAGAATAAAGTTACTAAAGACATTCATCTGGGGCTCGTTACTGTGACACTGTCAGTATTTGTAGAACACTTAAGTATCTTGATATAATATTTTGCTATTTCGCCCACCTCTACATTTATCTATTCTAGACTTTGCCTCCATGGGTTACTGAGTGACTCCAAGCTGCTGTTGAGCCTATATTCCAGTAATCAAATTTAAGACCCCTATCTTTCACCACAAAAATTCAATTCAGGACGTCATCAACAATCTACAACAGAAAGCCATAATAAAATGTTCAATAATGACCCAACACTTCATACAGCAATCAATACTGAGATATTAGAAATATACTGTTGGATATGAAATTGACTACATTTCAAAAAAAGTGTATACCTAATTACTAGTCTAACTGTCTGATGACTTAAGATGGCCATTTACCAGTAATGCAGTTTGTGAGAACTGACATTCTGCCACAGCGTTTGAGCCTCAAGTGTGAAAAACACAGTACTGGTGTGTGTATAATTTTTTTTTTTTTTCCTGTACAGAGTTGTAAGTGCAGCAAAATACATGAAATGCATAGATTTTAGCACAGTAATCCTGTGTTGCTTAACTTTCTGCTCCGCCAGAGTACAACAATACAATAAATCTGTCTGAAATGATATAATTGTGATATTGTGCATCTCCACCATAGACTTCACCACTTAGTCAAAATCAAAATTTAGAAGACGTTTCAAGTATTACTTAAAACCTATTCAACCTTTTTTAGTGCAGTATGTCTGTTGCATTAAATACTTTAATTCACTGTGTGTCAGTGTAAGAATATAACAAGGAATTTACTCTTTTTATACAGATGAAAACTGGTTGCTGATTTAACAGCTGTTCACAGATGTGCAGATATTTAGAATCTTATGACTGCCATTAAAAATGTTCTCCTCATGTTTTACAGGTATTCAGTGTAGAAATGACCAAAGTCTCAATTCAACACTAAAATTTAAATGTTTAATTTCTGTTTTCTCTAAAGCAGTTCTGGTACAGAATTAGTAGTAGTAGTAGTATTAGAAAAGAATGCAATAGCCTATGGAAATACCTTAGCAAGGTAATACAGTGGCCCTGAAAATTCAATCTGCAAACAGTGCTACCAAATATTCAGCTTTAGAATATTTCTAGCCTAGGGTTTATTGGTTTAGCATCAACTGGTTAGTCACTGAGGCATTAAACGATACACAAAAATAAAGACTTGAAGTCAAAACTTTCATTACGTTAAGAAGACAATGAAAAATTAAGTGCACCCTGGTTACATTCAATGGGCCTCAGTCACCAACCATTCTTAAGAAAAAACCCACTTATGCAGTTTTTATGAAGATTGACATTCACCAATGTTTTCCTTTTGGGATTTGTCTTGAGTAAGAAGAGAATCTACACACACCCACATCCACACTCAAGAGCACAAAGGTGCGAATACTTCTGCAGTTTAAGAACACATGAATTTGACAGACATTTTCTTGTGGCATTTCTGAAGAACAATTTAAAATAAAAAACACAACAAAAAAAATTAAACCCTTAAGAAGATATTGGTAAACGAGGCCCAGTGTGTTCGGCAATCAAGAAAAACTGAAAACTGCAGTCTGATATCAGTAATGTTGTACTGTCCCTTAAAGTTTGACTGGATTATTGAAATGTTCCTCCTTACTCGATTATAAATGGTCATCAAAAAACACAAATTTAAATGTCTACACGTTTCAAAACTGAGGTGCAGCAAGCTCACCAAATCGCCTGAGAGCTGGGTCAATGCTGTTGGGTCTGTTGGTGGCTGCCATGACGATTACGTGAGCCCTCTGCTTCAGGCCGTCCATCAGGGTGAGCAGCTGAGACACGATGCGCCTCTCCACTTCACCGTGTGTCTGTTGAGGTAGAAACAGATCAGCTTACTGCACCACAGGAACTCATTCCAGAATACATTACAGAAGACACACCAAAGTCTTTACAATAATCCACATCAAAGAGAACGAAACCGGACCACTAGAAGCAAATGTTCAATATTCAGACTAAATGTTAATTTGTTTATCCATGTTCCAGTGGTGGAATTAAGAAAAAAAAAAAGTATAATCACCCAAAGATAATGTAAAAGTAATACATACCCACAAACACTGCAATGATTAAGATGTGAATTGTTTCTCACCTTCTCTCTCTTGGGTGCAATAGCATCCAGTTCATCAATAAAGATGATGGCAGGGGCGTTCTTCTCAGCTTCTTCAAAAGCTTTACGCAGGTTGCTCTCAGACTCTCCAGCCAGTTTACTCATGATTTCAGGACCTGTGGAATTGAGAACATGCATCAATAATATTTCTACAACTACAAGTTCCCAAGCAGTACTACTGGGGGGAAGGAAAAAAAAATAATAAAAAAAAGTCAACATTCATAAAACAAATAAACCTTAAACTACAGATTATAAATATATATGTTTGCCTCACCGTTGATTAGGAAAAAGAATGCTCCAGTTTCATTTGCAACAGCACGAGCAATGAGAGTTTTTCCAGTTCCAGGGGGTCCGTACAGCAGAATGCCACGGGGAGGCTTAACAGTAAAGCAAGGTTACACCATTAGTATCTCTTAACAAGCCTGTAATTTTGTGCTCCACGTCTTCCAATGAGCAAGTCTTACCTTCACTCCGATGGCTTTAAAGAGTGCTGGGTGCCTGAGTGGGAGCTCCACCATCTCTTTGATCTGAGCCAGCTGCTTCCTGACACCTCCAATGTCATCATAGCCCACCTCGTTGAGCGATTCCTCCTCATCCTGGCAACAGGAATCACATTTGGGTTACATGAGAACAAAACAGAGCTGCATAGTATATATAGTGCTGCAGCATTATATGCTTATCACTGAATGTTTTGTTCATCTTGACCAATTACAAATGTTTCTATGGTAGTTTAGATTATTCAGAGCATTCAGATGATCCAAGAAACAAATAATTTCAGTTCAAAAACAACACAAGCCGATCTTTAAGCACATCACGCTAAGGGCTCACCAATGTGTAGCAATGTAGCTGTGGTTGTTGGTCTATATCACCCAGTCCTAGTACAAAGGAATACTCAGAATCTCTCGATTCAAAGACTTAAATTTCAACAGGAACCATGTAACTTAATACCACTACAAAAGACACATAATACCACTTTTGACATCAAATACAGAGCTCAATGTTGTGACAAAATACATTCTCATTGGTGCAATGAGATCTGCACACACTTACCAAGATGTTTTATGATAAATGTAAATAATTAGGATTATCATTCAGCTTGAAAGTGAACCGAAGGAGGGTGCAATAAGCAAAACAGACCTGCCACAAATTAAGCATGCTGCTAAAAATGCTGGTGTTTGGGAGCAGTTTTTAGGGGTCAGTAGCACTAAAACAATATATCTGAAGCAAACACCTACAAGAACTAGTAAAGAGTGGTAAATAACTAGATTATAAAACTATTAATAGCGCATCATTATATTCCAGTCACTTCATCCATGTTTTAGTTTCTGGTCATGCAATGATAAAGTTGTCAGCCCTGGGTTTAAACAAAACTGGGTTCTTATGTAGGCTAAAATGGTTTCGGGCCCCATTTACTTCATACACGTGATTATGATTGGCCCTTATATCTTTAATAATATCTCAATGCATAACTTCAGAATTCAATTGATATGTGCACTCGTACGTGCTAGGGTTAGGGCAGAAGCTTCAAACCCTGCTCAGCCAATCAGATTTCAGATTAATCCATTTCTTTTATTTTGTTGAGTCATGTCATTGATTTCAGGCTTGTTGATTAATCATTAATCACCAACTAATGATGGCTGGTTAACAGTCAACAGAATTAAAAAAAAATTGCATACTTCAAATTTTAATCACTGTTTTATAGAACAAAACCCAGAGACAAATTTCCTCCACTCATCTGCTATTAAAGCTCTCAAGCATCCAAGGGAACTCCCAGAAGAATAACTTTCTTACTAAGTAATACTCAGTGGAGCAAGGTTAAGGCAACTAAGGTGAAATGTAGTGTGTGACTACACTGGTCAATTTCAGTTATTTAGTGGCTGCTCTCACAGGTTAGTCACTGCACACACATTAAAAGTATGTTCATTTACACATGGATGTTTACTAATGTCACATTATTAAAAAAATGAATAAATTTCACATTATGAACATACCTCGCGCTTGATAGGTTCCCCTTCACAGTGAATGACTGTGTCTGGAGCCACTATACAGTAAGGGCTTGGGTCAGTCTCCACCACTTTAAACTCTACAGCACGCATGCCTCCTCTCACCAGGAAGATATCACCTACGGGGGCATGTCAGCAATGTTATAGTCTAGACAATACAAAAGGTATTATTATTATTATTAAAATGAAAGTTAAATAAAACCTTCATTTTTAATATTTTTTGGAATAATACCCAAAAGTCCTACAGAAACAAACTGAACATGTTGGAAAGGTTTAGCGGTTACCTTTGCGGATTGGCCTATAAGCCTCCAGGAAATACGGCTTGAGGTACACCTCAAATAAGTTGCCAGTGATCCCTTCCACTGTGTCATCTATGGGCAGAACATGGATGCGTTTCCCATACTTCACATCTGGACATGGCTGAATGCTACAAACAAAACAAAATTATTTAGAAAAAGTGTTTAATGTAATATATTTTAAGAGCAGTTATCAAGGCTTAAACTTTTTTCCCTTTTTTAAACAGTTCATTAAAAGAAAAAAGATAAACATATGGTCACCTGATGACATCTCCAAGGCGCACCCTAAGGTTGTTGCGGACCACCCTGTTCATGCGCACCTTCTCGTCAGAGCATGTATCATCAGACAGCACGATGCAGACAGTTTCTCTTCTCTTCTTACCCTTCAGCAACACAGTGTCCCCCCTAAAAAGCTGAAGCTCATCCATCTTGGCCTGCAAACATGCCAGGCACATGAATTATATGACCTGGGTGTCTCAAAATCAGAGCTTCTATATAGATCTTCAGAATGGAAAAGACATTCTGACTATGCAGATGAATCACACCCAGCACAGTACCTTTTTAAAGTGCTCCCTCCTGGCAAAACGTTTCAAAGTACCTCATGCAGAAAATCTCAGTTTCATAACAGCACTTACCCCTCTGTTATCAAACTACTGAACTCCACCCCTTATATTTGTGATTACTTATAATTTTATTTTAGTCTATTGTAGTTAATTGGGGAAATTAATGTTAAATGAATGTTACAGGCAATATTGAAGTTGTATGTTTTGTTTTTTTTTAGCCTAATTAAAACACAAATAAAATAAATAATAAAAAAATAATAAAAATCAACCACTTACTAATAAGGCAATAAAGCACTGAAACACATTCATCAAGGAGCAGTGCATGAAGGACACACCTGAGAGAGGGAGACCACACTGTTGTCTTCATTGATGGATTCATCAACAATCAACCTGTTAGGTCTGTTCTTTTGCTTCAGAATGGCAGTAGAAAGATCATCATTTTTGGATCTGAGTGAAAATGGTTCAGAAAAAAGGGGGGAAAAAAAGACTTCAGTGACTAAATAAATAATTCAAGCATAAAGACTCGGCAGTATTGCGTAGAGGAAATCAAGTTACATTTCAGTGAAGTCGAAAGTGAAAGGTAACTTTTAAAAACACTTCACCGACATGGGTTCGCAATTCTTCAGAACTCACAGATCCCGAGTTAAAGCACTGCTAGGTTACCTAACCAGTGTTGCTCTATCGTTAGACTCTAGATCCTTCTACAAAACACGGTCAACTCCGGAACGACTAACGGAGCTCGCTAGCTCTTCCTCACCGGGGCTGACAAACAATAAACACACATTTGAAAAAATGTCGAAAAAAAAATGTTTCATTTGGCAGCTTGTGGACAAAATTATTCGGAGAAAATGGTTTCGTATGTTTCGAAAGGCCAACATCTGCATATGTGAGGCAAAGCTAGCGCAGTCCTGTCAACATTAATAGCCAGAGAGCTAACGTTAAGTAAATAGAATTAGCTGGCTAACCTGCGTTGGTGCATAAATTAATGTTAGCTAGCAGTTACAGCTACAAAAGTGCTTCCTGTTGTTCCCCAAGTAATTTCCTTTGAGCTTCCCCTCAACCTGTAAATAGGAGTCATTTGTCCAGTTAGCTAGAACTCAGTTAGATCAGTAACGTTACATTAGCCTTGTCAGATGTCCGAATGACACAGCAAATGCTTCGACATCGCGCTAGCTAAAACGCTAACACAATAACGGGCTAGCAAGCAGTGAAATCGTCTGAAACTGATTCGACGTGAGCTATTCTTTGGAGAACCATTCTTGGAGTTTACTGAAAATGAAACCCGTTTATATTTGGCCTATTCCGACACAAAACTAGCTGTGACCACGAAGGCGAGTTTCTTATACACTGAAATGTCAGCCTGGAAGATGCTAGTTAGCCAGCTAGTGTTAGCTAACACACAGTCATCGGTCTGCCGGACCTCACGAGCACTACCTATACACAGCTAACACAGTAAACGCAGTCCAACTTTATTCACCCAAATGCCATGACATGTTCAGCTAATAGCTTGCTAGCAAGTTTGGCGATCGGACAATGACTCCGAGGTTATAAACATGCCTGATGCCGGTAGGCCAAAGCCAGAGAATGACTCAGTATGGTCTGTTAGCTGGGACAAACCAGCCGAGCAGCTAGTGAGCTAATAATACTAGTCAGCTATCAATAGTTCTCAGCTAGTTAGCCACGTTTACATAAAAAGGAGATAGCAAACGCAAAAGAGAACATGTTAAATTATATATATATCGCATTAGTCGAGGCCATGTCGTGTGTAAATTCGTTATTTTCGCCAAGAGCGTGCCATACTGGCCGAAAGCTAGCTAACCTGCGACGGTGGCTAACGTTAGTAAACTTGCTAACTTCTGAGTAAATAAGAGAAATATATTAGTATGTGAACATTTGTACACAATTGCTACAGAATGGCTTAGTTTTACTTACTCTCCACCCGAAGCCATGTTGCTTCCCCCGTGAAACGATATAAATAACGTATAAGATTAGCTTTCTTGACCGACAGACTCCAACCTTCCCGATAGCACTTTTCCTCCGCACTGAGTTTCAAAACCACAGCTTAGCTCGCTAACATCTTCTGCGGAGAAGCGATTCGACCGCCCACCGACTGATCAACCAATCAGAGCGAGCAACGGAGCCCTTCGTGGATTTCAGCCAATCAGAGGCCGCGCGACTCATCACTGGGCCAAGTCAGAGTCTAAGCACGGCTCTGGTAAGTCCCCGTTTGAGGCTGAAGATTATCAGGCCTGGCCTCCTCTCAGGGTCAGGCTTTAACATATTAGAATAGCTGATGCTGAAAGACAATTTCCTTCTATTTGTACTAATTTTCGTTTAACCCTGAAGAGCATACTAGTCGACTAAAACTTTAAATAGCTGGGCACAACACGTACAAGTGAAACAAAGAGAGCCTCAGAAAATTTGGCAAAAGAAAGGAATTCTGTGTTGTCGTTTTGTTCCAAAAAGGCTATAAATGAACATAAAATAACACTAATTCTAATACTACAGTTACTAAAAATAATAACTTGCATGTAGCAGCTCAAAGTGCTTTACATTTAAAAGCAAAAGCACACGAAAAATAGTAATGAAATAGAGTGAAGCACAGTAACAGAAGTGAAAAAGTAAATCAAATCCAGATTAAAAAGATGCTTTTAAATGTGTTTTTAACTGTCTAATTGTAAAAGGTAAGTGAGTTCCACAGTTTAGCATAATAACAGAAAGAGGCCTCTCTACAGTTACGTATTTTACAGAAAGTTTCTGCAGAAAGCCAGAATCTGCACATCTAAGATCATGTGCTGGAACATAGAGTAAGTGAGGTACACCATCTAGAGTTTTAAACACAGGTGAAAAACTAGAAAATCTATCCTGAAAGATACAGGTAGCAAGAGCAGTTCTTTCAAAACCAGGACGCTATGCTCTCTCTTTCATGTTTTTAAGATCCATGCTGCTGCATTTTGTACAAGTTGTAACGGTTGTATTGTTTTCTTGGAAAGCCCACTAAGCATTATGATAATCAATCCTGCTTGCAACAAATGGATGAACCATTTTTTTCTGCATCAGCCTGGAATAGAAAAGGACTCCACCAATATTTCTTAAACGGTAGAGTACAACCTTAGGTACATTTCATTGAGAGATAAAACAGAGAACTGATAGTACATCCAGGAATCTTCAGATTTGACATGTGATGGAAAAGAGCCTAGTTTCTCACAAACTAGTTTTTCTCAGTTTTTATGAACGTATTTATTTCTTAGACATACACAGACGTATATAAATAATGGGGAAAAATGCATCAACCAAAAGGAGAGAACAAGAGAACATTCATACATGAAATATGAAATTGTTTTATCTTTATTTCATGTCATAGTTATGTCACCACAGCTATGGATGAATTTCTCCATTTTCTCATTCAGGTTGCTGTGGTCAAGATGTGTAGCATTCTCTTGCCATGTTTGCAGATACAGGGGCAGGTCTCTGAAACATACATCAAAACAGTAATTCATCTCTAAAACAACAACATTTATAGCTTGATATACGTACTGCATGCCCAAACCACAGATTCGGTAGCTTACACTGGAGTAGGTGAATCTGTGGAATTATAATTCTGTTTCCACATAGCTGCTGCCTCCTTCTTGCGGTCCAGCCTCCATAAAGTCTCAACCAGCCACATCTCTGTGTTCCTACACCCTGGTAACATAAAAATCCAGGTATGATTTGCTTTAGATTAACAAGCTTGAGGACAGAGCAGTTGAGCTCAGAGTGGCAGAACACAATATTTTAGCACTGATACAAATCTAAGTCGAACAATCTGTTACTTAATAGTTGCTTTCCTAAAACAAAACTAAACGTTACACATCTAGACTGCAATGGAACATCACAGGAGTCATATTACAGAGGAGTGTTAGGTGTATGTTACAATGGTGAAAGAAAGGCCAACTACTTCTTTCACACCTGAGGAGGCCTGAAGACTGAGCTGGAAGTCCCTCAAAGCCTCCTTCAACTGGCCTCTCTCTACAAAGCACATGCCTCTGCCTGCAAGCGTCTGTCCTTTCAGAGCCTCCAGTGTCGCCACTTTATTGTCGGAATCTCCTGTCTGTCCTAGATTGTTCACTGTCCAGTCTGAAAGGCACAATTTAAGGCAGAGTGCACAATTAAACTGAATAAGTGAACGATCAGTTGACACAAATCCCAGAAAAAAATCTTAATCAAGATGTGTAATACTTGTACATTATGACAAATCAGTTTAAGAGGAATTCTACAGATTTTTAATCATTTATTCCACATAATTAAATCATTAGAACGTGAACAGTCTGATTTGTTCACAGTGGTGGTGATAGGAACCAGATGTCCAAAGCTGGACATTTAGTGGCTCTAAAAGCTCCCTCACAGTGCATCTGAATGCTGCCGCTAAATCTACACTAAAATGCTGTAGCATAATTATACATGACTCGTTGTGCTAAAGAACCTACATACATTACCTCATACGTTCAATGTAGCACTTCATTTGATCCATGTTATTTAAATAGGCTACTTTTTATTTTGAATGGAAAATGCTAGTTTGGCCCATTAAAGAGCAAATAATGTTATTTATGTTATGACTTGGGCTAACCGAAAGAACTGGATATGTGCTAGTGTGTTTGTGTGTGTTTGTGTCCCCAGTGTGAGCTTCGGGATTAAAAATAGAGGGTAATAAAAATATGCCAATCTGGCTGTAAAGAAACTGGAACCAGAATCAGCTATAAAAATTCTTGATCAGTGCAAGCTTAGTTCTGAATACACTGCCTGATGCCTGAGAGAAACAGAGAGAGAACTAATTTCTCCTGGTTTATCACCATATTACCGTCAACATTATATATAACAATTGTGAAGGCATGTGTATTTTCACAAATATTTTTGGATAGATGGCTAGTTAGTTAAATGGCTATGTTCACGCTGTAGACTTTGTGACCCCTGGTCACACCACTGTAAAGAAATCAGAATAGATAAGTTTCTCTATAATGAACCATTTAATGTCAAAACTTTCTGAATGACTTTGTTCACATCTCAATGAATGAGTATACAAAAAGTTTGTGGAATTCCCCTTTAAATCAAGTTATTCAATTTAAGAAGTGAAAAGAGTGTTTCTAATAGTTCTGCACAATATGGTCACAGTACTGATATTGCAATTCTTTTGCAACATACTGCGACTGTGATATAATAGAACATTCAAAAACGGCACTGGTGAATAAATAATGTGACAAGGAAAAACTGCAAAGATAATTTCATATATCCACAAGTAATCCGACTTGCTCTGAATCAGGTGATACTTTTTTTAATTCCATCTACATGAACTGTACTCCAAAGGTTTTTTTTGGTAAATTCTACATATTTTATTGAAAAATTAATGTTGTGTTCATCCAAATTTGATTGTTTCTCATTGTTAGAAATTTTATGAGAAATTTTTACATTGCAATGAACACAACATAATTTTTTTTTAAAGTACATTTTAAAAAAACTGGACCAAAGACTAAAAAAGTAGTACTGTAAGTAAAAATGTCACTGTAACCAAACTGTTTGACTGCTGTAGTAAAGAAAAATTTAATTCCAATATGGACATATTCTGCGATATCAGTGCTGCAAAACCTAATATTACAATAACAATAAACAAACTACATATGTGCAGCCATAGCTTTAGCAGCTGATTCTAAATTGTAAAAGCAGGTTGCAAAAGCAAACAGGAGAGAATAAAGGCTTACATTTCTGTTTAACACACACTTTCACGAGTTGATTGATGGCTCTGCAAAGGTAGTACAAAACAACAAAGCACCAGGTGAGATCACTGAGGTAAATGGTCTGCAAACTCAAGCCCATTCAAACAGCTACATGATAAACTGTACCTGGTAAAGCTGGTTAGTGCTTCTTTTGTATCCTTGAGCTGCAAATATGCGTGTCCTTGAAGGAAGTAAGCTGCCCCAGACCAGAGAACACAGTCTAATTTCTCTTCTACAGCTTCAGATTCCACACCTACAGCTGCCAGTTCTGTGGGGCCAGCTGAATGGTGATGTGGCTCAAGCAGCAGTCTCTCTGGGATGAGGTCCGCAGTCTTGGCAATGACTTCCTCGCAAATGGCAATAGCATCCCAAAACCTTTTGGCTTTCAACACTGCAAATGCTGCTTCAAGATAGATAACGGGGATTCTTGGGACAGGCAGGGCATCGCTCATGGGTACCTGCATTGTGTAAACAAACACATCATTCAGATTTGCAAGTTAGAATCATAATTAGAACTGATTTTATTGGCCAGGAAGACATCACTCACAAAGAATTTGTCCTGGCAGTAGCTCATGTAGAGACAGAGCAAGTGACACAGTAACAAGTAAATCAAGAAAATATTAAAGGGAAGGAAAAATTGCTTAAGAACGTAAAACACGCTCGTTTTGAAGACGTATAATGTTTACTGATTTCTGATGTATGTATGAACATACTGATCAGTACTGAGTGTACAGATTTAATGATACATAAAGAATGTTGTACGAGGGTGTTTTAAACTTCTAGAGGAAGACTGAATTTGACAGTGAGTGACAGGTCCTGTGTAAATATGTGCTTGTGCGTTGGCGTATTCCAGCAGTAGCAGTACTAAAGGGGAATTCCACTGATTTTTAAAAATTTCTACATAATTCAGTCACTGAGATTCAGAGGAGTGTGATGTGTAATGGTGGAGTGTAGAGATATCTATATAGATAGGTGAATAGATAGGTTGATAGACATCTCTTTAAACAATGACAATAAAGATCCATCCATCCATCTATCCATCCACAATGGTGGTGATAAGAACCAGAGCTTGTGATGTCTACAACAGTGAACCTACATATGTCTTCTGAGTTTTTATTTTTGATAATGGTAAAATAGCAATAGCAATAGTGAATCTTTTGAAAATAATGTTTCTTTGGGTACTACTTTGCCTTACGACCTACATATATCTTTCAAGCTTAAATGGATTTGAATGTGAATGTGAATAACTTTGACTCTCAATTTACTTTTAAATGGAGCATTTCACATCAAACCACTCCGAAATACTTAATTTCCCTTTATGTA